TTCCAACCCTGACAATTCTGTGATTCTAGGAGAGGTTACCTTGAGCGCAGGCAAGCTGAAGCCATCGGTTAGATTGTGTGCCTCCTCTTCTGAGACCTGCTCTTCACTCAGTCCCAGACCCAGCTCCTTAAAGGGAACTACACAGATGTAGCTGGTCACGTTGTCGCTCTCCGAATTCAGAGGGTAGGTTTAGCTGGAGTTAAGGTGGTTAACAAAGCAACTTCGGTATTAAACACACAGAGAAGGAGAAATATACCTAATAAGGTTTCTTATTTCTGGCAATTTGTATGAAAGCACATATATCCCACCCAAGCCCACCTGAGTCCTCTTTAATTGAACATTTTGCAATTCTTATTCAAAGCACAAGTTTTAAAGGCTCTTAGAAGGATAAGAGAGAAGGCATTGACAAAACACCTCCATGTAAATACAAACAGACAAAAAGAGACAAAACAGATTGATGAAAAATCCCTGCATCCCTTTCAAGTGAGGAAAACATCTTATCTTTAAATATTAAGTTTCCAAAAAGTAGCTCATGTCAATCTCAAACCAGTATTTAACAGGAAAAAGGAGAGCAATTGCACAATTTTAAGTTTCAAAGGTAGCCTATGTTACAGACCGAACTCAGGGTGACAGAATTCCCCGCGAGTTCTGTCTGTGGAGGGATTGCTCAGAGTTCTCTACAAAAACTAGTCTTTGATTTTTCAAATAGTACCAGGAAGAACAGGAGTCCCCCGATTGCCATGCCATTCATTTTATTGATTACATCGCTGTAAAGCCACCATGATCTTGTCAAGAAGAGTGGCGAACTCTTATCTATCAACACCACTCAGCACATTTAAATTCTGAGTAGAAAAATGTACATTTCCACTCCAAAAAAAGCAGGAAGTAAGCACAATACAACTGATACCAGAAGACAGATAAAAATAATTCAGAGACTAGGCAGCACTTATTTTAAAACAGCACTAATTTTAGGCTAACCTCATGATGGGGAAGTAGGAGAAGAAGGAATAGTTCAAGACTGCCCAGAGAGGTTGTGGAGTCTCCTTCTCTGGAGACTTTCAAAACCCACCTGGACGCGTTCCTGTGTGGCTGCCCTAGGGGATCCTGCTCTGGCAGGTGACTAGATGATCTCTAGAGGTCCCTTCCAACCCTTGACATTATGCGATTCTGTGATTCAGTGATTTATACGCATTCTGGATAGTTACCCGACCACAAATAAGTAAAATTTGCTTTAAAACAGAAACTTACAATTTACGATCATAAAGCACTTTTGTTCCACAGATACATATAAAAATATTTGAAAAACATTCATGAAAATAAGGCCTTAACTTAAACTATGATTTTTTTTTCACTTATATTTCAATTTAAAAACTGAATGCTCTCATCTCTTGGGGCACATAAAGCTGATTAGAAGCACCTGTCTCTTGGCCAACTAATACGTTTTCTGGGGAAGCTACAAGTTCCACCCACTTCCAGTCCCAAATTTTCCACATGCTACATTCTCATAGGATTGAACCTGTAAAAGGGATTTGCTCAAGAAAATTTAAATAATATTCTGTGTCCCAGGAAACTGCAATGTTAAGTGTCCAGGCGGCTCTAAACAAACACATTTCTCCCTAATTTCTCTCCAAAGTCCAGTAAGAAAGAAGTCTATTAAGTGTTGAGACAAAACCCTGCAACGCAAATTAATTAGGAACAGACTATTATTGTTGCGACCAGCAGCTGCCTCACATAATTCGAAGTTAACCTGACCACATGCCCAGCAGATGGAGCACACGGGATGAGGATGGTAACTCCGTCAGAGATTGAAAAACCAGGTCAAAACCCTTCAGGACCAGTTATCTCAGAGACTAATTATATTCCTTGTTAATCTTTTCCCGCAACAAGACTTTTCCAACAAGACATAAAAAGCAGTTTAGACACTTGTGAATTTCTAAGTCCTCTTAAAATAAATTTCTAGGGAACCTCTCCAACCCGTGGTTTTACCAAAGGAGCCATTTATTATGTCTCAGCTCAGCGTTCCCAGCAGACTCCCCACCTCCTGCCTCGACCTCCTCTTTTGCTGCCCTCCCACTCCCATTTCTATGTGGTAGATAAAACAGAGAACGGATCCATGCCCCCATCAGCTTCCTAAGGAGTAATCCTTTAGAAAGTTTAAACACATACAGAGAAATAAATACACATACACAAAATTCCTTCATAAACTTTGCTCTAAAACATGAGTATTTTTAGTGTTAATGTTTTCTATTAAAGCCAAACCTTAGGTTAGTCAAACTTTTCTATGTCTTTGTGAAAATACTTCATCCATCTGTTTCACTTACATTCCTAATTAGCTTGCAAAAAGGGAAAGCAAAGCTACTTAATAATAAACTGCCTATAAAACAAAATCTTGTGCAGAATAAAATCAAATCTGTACAGTGAATGTCTACCCTCTGTCAGGAGGCTGATCTTATTTACCTCTAGAAAAGCAAGGACATTAATGCACCCCTGTACATAATTCGGTCTTCAAAAGCACATTCCCATCTAAAGATCTAACAGGAGGGCCTCGGAGCATCCCTGAGAAGTCCAAGCTGCTCTTTTACAAAGTTCTCAACCACTCACCAGGCGTGAGGGAATGAACTAAGCATGTGAAAAAAGGGCTGGTCAGGGAAAACGTTGCACTGAAAAATGCCCAAGTATCTTTACTCAGATCTTCCAGTACTGGATTTAGGCTTTTATGACCCAAAGTGTGGTCAGTTAAAATGGAACTAGGATTTGATCTTTAGTATATTAGCTAGGAAGATTCAATTTTTGTTGCACCTGAGAGTAGGAGGTTGTTTTGCATATTAAATTCCTATTGAAAATTGTTCCATGCAAAAAATAATTCATGCAGATACACATCTCCCGTGCAACAAAAATACAAAGCAATATCCAGTAAAATAAAAAATGCTTATTTAAACAGTATTATGACTAACCAGGGAAAACAGGCTTTGAGGTTTTTTAATGTAATTTTGTAATAGTAATCCAAATTTTAAATATTTGGAATGTCTAATATCTTTTTCTCTAATAAAAGCATTATGTTTTGCTGTTGCCAGTGTAAATCATGAATAGTGCTATTGGATTCGTGCCTCTCTCAATGCTCAGAAAAAGCAAATTTCAAATAGAAATTCATTGATTCATACTCAAGTAACCTAGGCAAGTTAAAGTTGGGAAAATCTTCTGGTTTTGTGCAAAGCAGAACTTATTAAAATTAATTGGGATTTCATTTCCAGACTTTGGATGAAAGTTCCTTTTCTTTAGTTTATCGGCATTC